ATTACCAGCCTACAATCCACACTGCCAGAGAAGCTAGTAAACAAGGAGGACCCTAAGAGAGACATACATGGTCCCCTGGAGAAGGGGAAAGGGTCAAGATCTCCTGAGCAAATTGGGAGCATGGGAAGAGGGGGGAGGGAGCTAGGAAAATGAGAAGGCGAGAAGAGGAGGGGTACAGAGGACATGAGGGAGCAGAATGAGTCAAGGGAAAAATAGAAGATAACAAGAATGGAGATACCATAATAGAGCGACACATTTTAGGTTTACAGAGAAATCAGGCACTAGGGAAATGTCTGGAGATCTATAAAGATGACACCAGCTAACAATCTAAGCAACAGAGGAGAGGCTACCTTAAATGCCCTCCCCTGATAATGAGATTGATGACTGACTTATATGCCACCCAATAGCCCTCATCCAGCAGCTGGTGGAAGTAGAAGCAGACAACCACAACTAATCACCAAACTGAACTGGAACCCAGATGCAGAGAAGGATGAGTGAAGAGCAAAGGGGTCCAGACCAGGCTGGTGAAACCCACAGAAACAGCTGACCTGAACATCATCAGGGAGCTCTTGGTTCCCAGACTGATAGCTGGGATACCAGCATGGGACTGATCCAGACCCCAGGAACATGGGTTTCAGTGGGGAAACCTTGCAAATCTATGAGACCTCCTGTAGTAGTTCAGTACTTATCCCTAGCATAGGTGTGGACTTTGGGAGCCCATTCCACATAGAGGAATACTCCCTGAGTCAAGACACACAAGGGTGGGCCTAGGCCCTATCCCAAGGATACGATAGACTCTGATGACACCCTATGGAAGGCCTCACCATCCAAGGGGAGAAGAAAGGATATGTGATAGGTAGGGTTTTAGTTGGGATAGGGAGGTAGTAGGGGAGGAGGGGAGAGAGAGGGAACTGGGATTGTCATGTAAAACAATCTTGTTTCTAATTCAAATAGAAAAATATCCATTGTAAAAAAAAAAATCTGAACAGTCAACAGCTAGGCAGGGTTTTCAGGACATAGAGAACACTGGGAAAAGGAAGGGCAGACTCAGTGAGGAGATGCCAGAGATGCAGAGCAAGCAGGATGAGCTTCACATTATAAAGGTAACTGAGTGACCCACATAAAAGAATGTAGATTAAAAGATACAGGTTAATTTAAGTTATAAGAACTAGTTAGAAACAAGCCTAAGCTATCAGCCAAGCTTTCATAAGTCTGTGTGTCATGATTTGGGAGCTGGCTGGCAGAACAGAGAAAGACTCTGTTCAAACCTACAATCTTTTTGCCTTAGCATCCATGGTACTGTGATTTCAGGCTTGTGACCATACCCCATTTTCATCCCTCAAGTTCTCTTGGAGCTGTTTCTCTCTTCAATATTCCTCTTCCTTCCTTCCTTCTCAAATGGCCTTTCCTATTCTTTTCCAGGTTTCTCACCCATGCACTATCTACATTTTTCTTTCTCCTTTCCTTTTTTTCCTTACTCTTCTTTTTGTCTCTTCCCCCCTTGACCCCTTTCCTTTCCTTCTGTTACCTTGTCTTCCTGGCTCTTTCACAAGTTTCTATGAAGTCTCTACCTATGTTGCTTAACTTTGGTTGCCCTTGAACTGCTATTCTCTCAACAGAAGCTATATTTCTCTCCCTTTCTGCCATATCTCCCAAGAAAACAAAATCCACGTCTCATCTCACCATCCCACTCTGCATCCAGAGCTGGCCCTCATTCTTCCGCATTTTTCCATCTTTTTTTTTTTCTAGCTGTTCCTATCTCAGATTTTTGTCCAGTTTTCTCTTCTGGGTACCTGTTCCTCGACACTCCCTCCCATTGTTTGTTTGAGACTGGGTCCTGCTTTGTACCCCAGGCTTGTGTGTTTTCCAGTCTATTGGTTTCTTCCTCCCTGGTGTTGGATGATAGTCATGAGTTGCCATGCCAGGCTCTGCTCTTTGTCCCCAGAGCATTTATTTTTGGATATCCCCCAAGGTGGCCCTATTCTCTCTGCTTTTCTTTCTTCCATGGCACTCAATCCCTCTTGCATACTCCCAAAGACAGCATAGTCTAACCATGAATATATGCAGTGGCTTTGATTTCTGAGTTAATTGACACTGGTTGCCCAGACTGTATCTTGGAGGAAGATGTTTTCCTATAACACTTCTGAAGACAGTGACCTCACACTGACCCTTGTGTCTCCACTGTTCCGAGAGCATAAAGACCCCAGGGTGGGGCTGCAGGTTGCTTTAAGCAAGGGACTACAAGGACATGCTTGGGTTTCTGCTCTACCTTCTGACTTGGATCAGGAATGGTGTGTGACTCAGACAGAGGAGCTGCATCTAAGTGCAATAACTTCTTTCCTGTAAACCAGAGCAGGTTTTTAGAGAGGTCTGGCACAGGGGAAATGTTAGGGGATCCACAGGGATGACCCCAACTAAGAATCTAGGCAGTGGTGGAGAGGATGCCTTTGATGCCCTTCCCCTATAAGGAGATTGGTGTCTACCTTAGTTACCATTCCTAGAGCCTTCATCCAGTAGCTGTTAGAAGCAGAAACAGGCACCCACAGCTAAGCACTGAACTACCTGGAATCCAATTGTGCAGAGGGAGGAGGGATGAGGAAAGAGGCCAAGACGGTGCTGCAGAAACCAGCAGAAACAATTGACCTGACCTACTGAGAGCATGGAGACCCTGGTCATAACGCTGAGGAAACAGCATTGGACCAAACCAGGCCCTCTGAATGTGGGTGCCAGCTAGGAGGCCAAGACAGTCTGTGTGACCTCTAACAGGGGAGCCAGCCTTTATCCCTAGAGCACAAATGGACTTTGGGAGCCCACTCCCTATGGAGGGATACTATTGCAGCCCAGATACAGCAAGGAGGGCCTAGGCACTCCCCCAAATGATATGACAGACTTTGACGGTCCCTAGTAGAGGGCCTCACTATCCCTGGGGAGGAGTTGGGGGATGGGTTGGGGGGGGTGTGGGGAGCATGGGTGGATAGGAGGGCAAGGGAATGGGGGGACGGATATGAAAATATGAGTAGTAGTTAAAGAACTTTTTTTAAAAAAAAGTGGGGGGGGCTCTCAGCTAATACCAACGTCCTGGGGAGCTACTCTGGAGGAGAACATGGTGTAGGAGCTGACTGAGGGGCAGGGAGTATCTTTACGCCATGATGCTATGTGGGTAGGGGTGGACATAAATCCTGATGTGGCAGTGAGAAATCCTGTCAACTGGGTAATGGAGAGGAAGAGCTGGGAAGGGAACCAAAGCTCTCAGGCAGAGAATCCATCTCTGTTGAAGTTTTATTGGTCCTTGGAGCCAAGGCTCCCCACAGCCCCCAGGCTACAGCCTGCCGGTGACTCTGGACAGATGCAGAGTCCACTGCTCCCCCAGGCTCCGTCCAGTTGCTCAAAGGGATAAAAGGATAGGAGGGAAGTACTGGAAACAGATCATCAGTCCTCTTCCTACTTTGGGAAGGGCCTCCCTGTCTCCCAAGGTCACCAACCCAGCATCTGGATAACCTCAACGCTGGAGGCAACCCCTCAATGTCAGTCCTAGGCAGCCTGGGTGTGCCCATTGGCCAGGCGCCCAGCTGCCCGGCTCCGTGGGCCATTGGCAATGGCTGGCCCAGACCCTGGAGCCATTCTGTTCTTCAGCTGAGGACCTTCAGGAACTGCCCCGTCATCACTGGAGTCTGATTCTTCTGCATCACTACGAATGTCCTTTCCCATCTGTGAAAACAGATGGTTCCAGAGCTCAGAACAGAGCAAGGAGCACTGAGCCAAGGAGGGCCACTGGGAGCCGACCCTGCCAGGCCTGCATACCTGACCCTTCCTCAGGAAACCGAAGATCATGCGCATGATGAGACAGAACCAGTACACATTGAGAATCAGCAGTACCAGCAGGAGCATATTAAAGTAATAGTAGCCGAAGAAGGGGCCCGAGTTCTTGATGGAGTCAAACAGAGTAGAGTAGATGACCCTAAGGCAGGAAACAAGAAAGAGTTTCACCAATCTGTGTGGCTCCCCATTCTAGGAACTTGCATGGATCATCTGTGCTCCTGAAACTCCCCAGTGCCCCATCCTGAGATGGTATCTCTCTTGACCTGCTTATTCTAAGTCAGTGGAACACACCACTTTGCCAACTGGCCTTTCTTACCAGAAACTCCAAGGCAGTACCTAGTGTCCTACTGGCCCTCCTAGGTGACCCTTTCTGATTACTGATCTGTCCCTAGATACACAATAACTCTCTATCTCAACCTGAGACCTACCTACTCATCTCACAGAGTCACCAGATGACAGTCGGAGACAATGTTCCTGAACCCACTTTTCCTGCACCTCTACCCTCTTGCCAGCTGACCCAAGCTCTGCCCATGTCAAACGCTTTGCCAGGTCATAGCTTTGTTTCCTACACACCTTTTACCGTCAAATCCAACCCTGCTGTTATTCCACATGCAAAAAAAGAAAAACCCTTCATCAGTCTTTGTCCCTGGCCACTTCATCCCCGCCCCCTTGAGGCTCCTGTGACTTCTAGGAGCCCAAATGCCCACCCCTCTTTGCCCCTACTGCCTCCTCTTCCTCTGCACTCATCTCCCTTCCTCTTCCTCCCCTTCCCCCTCCTCCCTGCTCCTTCTCCTACTCCATCTTCTTCAACATCCACTTCCTTCTTTATTCTTTCCTCCCACCTTTTTCCTTCCTCCTTTCCTCCTTCCACTTTCACCATCTTTTCTTCCATCCTTGCCCTTTACTTTCTTTCTTTCCTCATCCTTCTCTCTCTTCCCTCTGACTCCCTCTCCTCTAGGAGATCTTTACCACTGAAATTTGCTACAACTCCAGTCTTCACCTCTCATACCTTTTCCATCAGTCTCCAACAAAAATCAGAAAACTCTAGGAATTCACTTTTATCCATACCTTAGCCCCAGATGGCACTGCCCAGCCTCCAGCAGCAAATACCTACCTACCACAAGCTGGCAACTCCCACATTTACACCCCGGCCTTTCCAGAAAGCCCAGCCTGCCATGCCATCTGCTTCCCTTGTGTCTACAAATGAGCATAAGCCCTTCAAAACCAGCTCAAAGCAGCTGGGAACCTGATGCCTGCTGAGGTCTCTCCTAGCCCTGATGGTGTCTCTTTCAGGTCTTCTCTTACCTGCTCTGGTCCATCTGTCCCAGCTTCCTACCCTCGGCCCTCGCCCTCCATGGCTTCCACATCCCTTCAAATAACATCCCATAGGGTCCTTCGTGACTTCCCCTGGTCACCTACCTGCATTCACCTTATCCTTCTCTGTGTTCCAACCACATGAACTCATTTCCATTCTTCCAACACTGGAACACAGTCCAGCCTTGGAGCCTTTGCATATGCTGTTCCCTCCACCTGGACCACCTTCCTCTCTGATCAGTATGGTTCTTGAGCCCCATTCACTCTCTATGTACAACAGGCTATCAATAAAACATCCCTGAAGATGGGCTCATCCAGGGCCAGCTACCTACAAGCCTGCTTCCTGGACACCAGCTTGATTATCTCTTAAGTGCTATCACTCCCTTGTGCCTTGGTCTGTTTGTTTGCCTGTCTATCCTCTGTCTCTCCCCCGACATCAGTTTATCTCCATGACGAAGGAATCTGCATTGCTCTCTCTGATATTTCTTCCCCCCCCCCCCGGACACATTCCAGGGGCTCAACAAATACCGCAAGATATTTACTAGACAATTTTAGTGAGTGGGCACTTAGACAGCCTCCTCCTCTCTCTCCCTGTCCAGTGAGTGCACTGCACTAGTGCTGCACTCCGTTTCTGCTTCTCTTACCTCTGAGCCTTCACACATGCCGTGCTCTGGGCCAGAGACACCATTTCCTGCCTCCTGCAGTTTCCTGAGGCACAGCACCAAGGGGGAGGCCTGCCTGGCTCCTGGACACACCCTCCCATCTCCCTAACCCTCAGGACTCACTGGGTGGGGAAGCATATGAGGCGAGTGTAGAAGAAGACTAAGGAGAAGATGATGAAGAGAGTGTTGCTCACTCGCCGGAAGTGGGTATAGTTGAACATCTTACAAGCCTGAGGAGAGCAGCAAAGAGAAAAAGCCTTAGGACCAAGAATCCGTGGACAGTGGTCGGTCAGACGAGGGGATCCTCAACTTGGGGACAAGAAGCTATGGGGTGAGGCCAAACGAACTGAGGTAAGGCCGTTATCTCCAGCACTACCTAAGAAGGGCAAAGAATGAAAGAGTAGCAGAGACAAGACATAGACAGAATATTCCATCTCCAGGGAGACTGAGGCATGGTGCCTCTAGTCCCTGAAAGGCTGAGAGGGGCAGGGTCTTATATACAAATGAGTCAGACAGTGATGGGGAATTCCTGTCCCAGAGAGACCAAGACTGAAAGGGCCTTATGTCACTGGGAAACTAAAGAGGGAAGGGCAGGGTTTAGAGGCAGTCACATCAGATAGCTTAGTTGTGGCAGGGCCTCCTCTCCATGGCCAGGAAAATAGCAGGCCTGGCAGGGCAATGCAGAGGTGAACCTACCTCCAGCAGGTAGTCAGAGGAATCATGCACCATCAGTACCACGGAGCCAATGCGCAGCAAGTTGGAGCTGTAGGAGAAGGCTATCAGCCCCATGGCCACAAAGTGGTGTACCACCTGCTCCTTGAAGTCCTGCAGAAGACAGTGGGTCACCCCTGGGACAAGCCTCTGTGGCCAGAGGGCCACATGCCTGGAAGCAAGCCTTTTCAGGAGATCCATCAGGCTGCTTGAACCCATACCTTCTGACAGATATCAAGGGCATCTCAGGGTACAATGTCAAGGCCAGTTCATCCCTCTTCAGCCCCTCCCCAGAGATTAGGAAGCATCTCTCCCATGGTGCCCACACATCTAGCAGGATTTGTGGCTCATAACTCACCTTGCGTTTGATGTCAAAGGGCAAAGTGATTAGCAGTGAAATGTAGAAGCCCAGCTCCACGAGGTACCACCAGTACAGGGCCAGATTCAGGGTCTATCGCAGGATAAGGAAAGATTAGCTATGACGTGTAAAGGCTCCTAACTGGAAGCGACTTGGATGGAGATTCTCCCAGGTTGCCCAAAACCTGGACACTTGAATGCCAGTAAGTGAGCAAAGCATACACTCCCCATCTCTGGAGTGGTCTGGGGAAGGTCCTGGTCTTATTGTCCTCCCTTTATAGAAGAATCAAAAACGGAATTAGGAGTCTTCACATTCAAAAGGCAAAGAACAGGATCTCATGGCCCAGAGAGGCACCAAGAGGTGGGCCTTCACGGTCCAGAAAGTTGAAGCAAAGCTTCAAGTCCCAGGAGACCAGAAGAGACTAAGCATCATAGCCAAAGGAGTTTAGGGGGCGGTGGAGGGGGGTCATGTCTCTGGGAAGTTGGAAAGGACATATCTGCCTGGGACACTAAAGAACGATGAGGCCTCACATTCCAGGGAGGTTGTGAGAGTCAGGGTCTCAAGTACCAAGACTACTAGAAAGAATGGGCCCTCAGCACCCAGGAGGGCTGTGAAGGGCCAGGCCTTACCACTCAGACAGGAAGGAGGGGAGAAGCCTCATCATGCAAGCAGCTAAGAAGGGCAGGACAACATCATAGAGGCAGGTAGTGAGTGAGGCTGCGCCTCTTTTGCCTGTGACCACAAAAGCTGAGTTTCCCCACAGCCCACTTGCCACTCACCTGTTGTGGATAATCTTCCCAGCACAATGCCACCGTCCAAAACCATGGCTCCTATGAAGAACAAAGGATCTCAAGCTCTCTGAAGGCAAAAGCCAGCCTCTTCGCCTGGATCTGAACACCCAACTACCAGAGCTTCCATAGCCTTCTAGTTACTGACTCCACTCTGCCCTGCTTTTATATTTTTCAAGCAAGGGTCTCACTATGTAGCTCGTGTTGCCCTCAAATTCATGATCCTTCTGCCCACAACTCCTGACTGTTAAGTCTGACAGTGGTTTTAACCAAGTTGACCCAATTGAGAATCACCTGGGAAGGTGGTCTCAATGAGGGGTTATCTAGATTAGGTTGGTCTGTGCAGACACCTACATGAGAGATCTTATTTGGGTTAATTGAGATTGAAAGACCCATCCTGAATGTGGGCAGCACTATCTCATTATGTGTGCCTTGGACTGGAAGAGAGTGAGCTGAACCCTACCATGCATGCACTTCTTGCTGACTGTTCTCACTATTGATGTAACCAATTCCCTCCAGTTACTTCCCCTGCTATGACAGATGGTAACCTCGAACCATGAGCTAAAAGAAATCCTTTCCCCCTTGGCTGCTTTTGTTAGGAGATTCTATTACAGCAACAGAAAAAGAAAGTAGGGCAGCATGGTCACTCCCCCACCATAGCTCAGGCCTGCTCTCTCCTCCCTTGTTCCAGCTCTGCCTCCCAGCAGATTGATTCATTGCAGATGGCCAGCTCCCAGTGCACAGTAGGTCTTCAGGAGGCACCAGTAGAAGCTTGTGGGACAGGTGACCCTCTGGTTTACTCACATGGTAGAGGATAGAGATGCCACCCACGAAGGAACACTGATAGAAGACAAACCTCCAGCTGCAGAGGGAGAGGAAGCTAGTGAGGCAGCTGCCAAAAAGCAGTGTCCAGGCCCCAGAGGTGGAGCTTCATCTGCCAGGGAGGCTAAAAAAGGGTGGGGCCTCACATCTCAGGGAGTCTGGAAAGGGAAGGACCACAAGTAACAAGGAAGCTAGGAGGGGTAAAGTCTCATCACCCAGACAGGCTAGGAGAGGCAGGGCTTCATTATCCAGACAGGTTTGGAGGGATGGGGCCTCATCACCCAGGCAGGCTAGGAGGAGTGGGGCCTTTTCTTTCAGATGGACTACCTCCCCTGCACCCCACAATTACCTAGCTTCACAGAATTTCTTGGACAGGCAAGGCCGTTGTTGGTTCCGACGTCTCCTGAACCAACGCTGAGTCTGTCGCAGTGTGAGACCACACTGGGCAGCCAGGAGGACCATCTGGGTCTGAGGAGAGGGTAATGAGGGAGAAAGGTTACACAGCCCTGGTGCTGGTTTTCCTGCCCTTGTCCCCAGGTGCACGGGTCCCACTTTGATTCACGCCCTCTCCCCTGAAGCTCAAGATCTTTCCCACAGAGGCATATCCACTGTAGTGAGAGGAAAGAGAAGAGGGTTGGGTGGAGAGAGCTCCAGAATACTGGCCCTAGTTGTAGAACACACAGGTCACTGGTGGAACCTGGCATCAAGAATGAGGCTGTGGTACTTGCCAGACATGAACAAAGTCCTGGGTTCATCCCCAGCAAAGGGGACAACATTGATGAAGATGAGAAGCAGGCTTTCCCGCAGCCCCTTGGGGAGCTGAGTCTCACTCTACCCCCTGGTTAAATTTATGGTTCAACTGATACCCACCAAGAGTCACCCGGAAAGAGGGCATCTCAATATCACCCAGATCAGCTTGGGCTGTGGACATGTCTTTGGAGAACTGTCTTGATTGTTATCTGATGGGAGAGGTATCACCCCTAGACTGATGGAACTGAGCTGTGCTAAGAAATCCGGTTGAGCACAAGCCAGAGGGAGCAAACCAGTAAGCAATGCTCCTCCGTGGCCTCTGTGTCAGTTCCACTTCCTGCCCTCACTTTCCTCAGTGATGGCCTGTTCCCTGAAAGTGTGAGCCAGAATGAACCCTTTCTTCTCCAACTTGCATTTGATATTTAGTATAGCAACAGTATAGTAAAGCAGACTAGGCCACTACCCCGGGCAGGCACTTAGCTTTCTGCTCTGTAGAAGTCACCCTGCCAGCCAGGCAGTGGTAGCGCACACCTTTAATCCCAGCACATAGAAGTCAGAGGCAAGCTGATCTCTGTGAGTTAGAGGCCAGCCTGGTCTACAGAGCAAGTTCAAGGACAGCCAGAGTTATACAGAGAAACCCTGTCTTGATAAAACAAAACAAAACAAAAACAAAAGGCTACCCTGTCCCTAGCCAGGGTACACAGACTTCACTTCCACTTTACCCTACAGAACCTGGCTCAGACCAGGCCAATTGGGTAACCCCAGCCAGGATGAGTACAGAAGCAGAGCTACAGGGCTGCTTCTGGCATTCCAGTCACTCCACTGGAACAGAGACATTGTGTCCCTCCTCAGAACAGGGAAGAAACCTACTCTTCTGACTGTGATCCCAGATCTGTTTGTTGAGTGATGTCCCACACTAAGAGGAGATTCATACCCCGGGAAGCCTTACAGGGCTAGGACCTTGTGTCCCAAGAATCTTGGGAGCAGCAGGGCCTCAAGCCCCAAGAGGCCTAGAGGTGCAGGGGCTTATGACTCAGGAAGGCTGGGAGTGTCAGAGTTTCAAACCTTGGGGAACCTGAGAAGGATGGAGCCTTCAAGTCTCTGGAAGACCAGGAGGTACAGGGCCTTCATGTCCCAGGAAGTTTAAGAAGGAACAGGTTTAAGCCTCAAGACCTTTAAAGGAAGGTTTCCCCCAGGTCCTAGGGAGACCAGAAGGGGTGGTGTTTCATAACCCAGGAATCCTGAAAGGAGTGGACCCTCATGGCTCAGAGAAATTAGGGGTGTGGCCTCACATCTCAGAAAAGATGAGGGCTTCAAGACCTAAGGAACCTGAGACTAGGAAGGGCAGCCTCATGTTGGGACAGAAGTGGTGTCAAACCCCAGGGAACCTGAGAAGGATGTGACTAGTCTACTAGTCTCAGCACAGCTGGGAGAGGTGGGGCCTCACATACCCGGAGACAGAGGGGTAGAGCCTCGTGCTTCTGTCAGGGAATCTGTGGACTCAGGTTGAATGTAGGGTGGGGGCACTTATGGATGAGTCAGAGGTCCCTTTCCAACCTCCAATAAGTGCCACAAAGGACTTCTACTCCCAGGTCCTAGGGAAACCATCATGCAGACATCAAGAGGATGTGGGGGCTCACCTCCACAGGTCTCTGCCCCATCCTGAGGAAGTATTTCTCCAGCACTGGGTTAGGTGTCATCTGCCTCCTGATTTGGTCCTTTATACCCATCCACCGGCTCAGGGGCAAGGCCACAAATCTGAGTGCAAGGGAAACAGAAGCCAGTAGAAGTCAAATGAATGGGATGTGACTATAGCAAGAGGAAACCAAGGGAGCCTGAGGCTTAGGCAAGCCTCATCAGCAAGTATAGTTCAAATCTATCTGAACAGAGGATTTGGAAACCCAGAGCCAAAATGCCCACACAGGCAGGGGATTTTCTACCACTACTCCCAGCCACAGTCCCTGGACCAAAACCAGGAAAAGATGCCTAGCATCATCTTCAGGATAGGGATGTTCAGGTCAACTCAACGGGGAACCAGGTTCCTTCACCCATCCTCAATCAGAATGAAAGGCCTCTGTGTCCTGGTGATCTGAGTCTTAGTCTCCCTGCATCAGGCTCTTCATGGGAGAGGCACTGCCTGCTACCTGTTAAGTCTGATATCCCACAATCCCTACTCCCATGAAGGTACCTGGTTAATCAGTCCCCACATTGCCCACAAGAGGGTGCTCCAAGGCTACAGATGGAGACTGAACTCCATCTCTGGGGTTCTAGCATCTTAACTTCACTTAAGAAACTTGAGGCCCAGATCAATCTAGCAAAGAACTACTGTTAGAGTTCACTGTGATGGGGGAGTCCAGTCTTTATTGAGTACTTACCCTCTGCCAAAAATGGAGAAGTCCATGCTATGACCAGGCTCACTTTAGCACTCTTATCTCCTTGCTTGCTTGCTTGCTTGCTTGTTACAGTCTCCCTATGTAGCCCAGGCTATTCTCAAACTGGCAATCCTCCTGCCTCATCCTTTCAAATGCTGGGACTGCAGGCAGCCTAAGATCACCACTTAAATGTGAAAAAAAAAAACACCTATCTGAGCTCCAGTGGTGAAGTTGGGCATGTACTATGCACCCTACTCTCCTGTAGTGGTTTGAAAGAAAATGGCCCCCACAGGGAGTGGCACTATTAGGAAGTATGGCCTTGTTGGAGGAAGTGTGTCACGGTAGGGGTGGGCTTTGAGGTCTCATATATGCTCAAGCCATACCCAGTATCTCAGTTCACTTCCTGTTGCCTGCAAGATGTAGGAAACTCAACTATTTCTCCAGCACCATGTCTCCCTGCAAGCCACCATGTTGCATGAAGTTCATGGACTAAACCTCTGAAAATGTAAGCCACCCCAATTAAATGTTTTCTTTATAAGAGTTGTTGTGGTCAAAATCTACGGGACCTCCTCTAGTAAGTAGTTCAGTACTTATCCCTAGCATAGGTGTGGACTTTGGAGGCCCAATCCACATACAGGGATATCCCTGAGCCAAGATACACAGGAGTGGGTCTAGACCCTATCCCAAAGGATATGATAGACTCTGATAACCCCCCCCATGGAAGGCCTCATCCTCCCTGGGGGCTAGAGAGATGGCTCAGCAGTTAAGAGCACTTGCTATATTTCCAGGACTGTAGTTTGGATCCAGCACCAAAATCAAGTGGCTGTAACTCCACCTCCAGGGAATCTGACACCATTTGCTGACCTGTGGGCAACTGCATGCACCTGGTACACACACACACACACACACACACACACACACACACACACACACACACACACACACACACACACACCGGACTCCACGGACTCCACCAGCCACAACATGGCACTCACCTCTCAAAGATGATGCGCACAGCCAACAGGACCAGAGCCATTGGCAAGGCAGCAAGCATGTGATGAGGGTGGGCGAACACCAGGCCATCTCGGTCCTCCAGTTGTGCCCATGTACTGTTGGGTGGTAACCAGTACCTCTCCTGCCACAGCCACTCACTCAGGCTGGACAACATGCTGTGGATACACAATCAGGTGAGAGCAAGTCACCTCCCAGAGCCACGGTGCATTCAAGAAATGTCAGAAGAGGGGGAAACTGGTGTAGAGTACTGACTGCTCTCCCAGAGGACCCAGGTTCAATTCCCAGCTCCCACACAGCAGCTAACAACATCTGCAACTCCAATTCCAAAGGAGCCAATGCTCTCTTCTGGCTCTCACGGGCACTCATGTGCTGCACTCCATACGTGCAGGCAAAAACACCCATACACATTGCAGTGGTTTGAATGAGAATGTCTCCCATAGACTCACGTATTGAATGCTTGGCTCCTAGTTGGTGGAGCTGTGGCCTTTTGGAGAAGCCGTGTCACTGAGGCGCCAACTCTAGGCTCAGTGTCCCTCTGCCTACTGCCTGCAGGTCAGGACGTAAGCCCTCAGCACCATGCCTGCCACCTCCCTGCTGCCACACTTCCTGCCTGGTGATAATAAATTAACCCTCTGAAACTGTAAGCAAGCTCTAATTAAATACCCTCTTTTATAAGTTGCTTTGATCATAGTGTTTCATCACAGCAATAGAACAGTAACTAAGACACACATAAAAAAAAGATAATTCTTTGAAAAGTCAGTAAGCAATACTTCTGGTTTGTCTGGGAAGGTATTTCCACGGTTAGATCCTGGAAGTTCTGACTCAGTGGCTCATCTTTGATGGGTTCTTTGATGGGGGTGATGGGGAATGTCCTCAGGCTGTATCTTGCCTGAGTCCTTCCTCTAATCCTTTTTTTTTTTTTTCTGTTTCCTGTCCACCCTGTCTCAAACTGCTCTGCTCCACTCTCCCTACTCTCAAACACTCTCCCCAGATGATGTAATGACACTTCCCAAGAAGGAGCCCAGAATAAATCTTTCTTCCCAAGAAGGAACTAGAATAAATCTTTCTCTCATTAAATTGTTTGATGCATGGTTTGTCACAGTGATGAGACCACTTAACTGAGGTTTGCCATCTGCTGGTGTGGTTTGGTTTGGTTTGTTTCGGGGAGGGTTGTTTTTCTTTTCTTTCAAGATGAAATTTACTAGAATGAACCACATAAAAGCCAGCTGAACATGACAGTTTATCTGTAAGCCTGTCCCATGGGAGGTGAAGACAGGAGCTTCCTGGAGCATGCTAGCTAATCCGAAGAGCTAAAATAGCAAGCTCGGGTCCAGGAAAAGACCTTGTACGGATGAGTAAGGTGGAGGAGAATTGAGAAAGGAGTATAAAATCAACCAAGAGCCCCCTGTATGTGCACATGCCCACATGTATGTGTGCACTCTCACACAAGTAAACATGCATACAAAATTATGCACACCACAATGCAAAGAAAAACAAATCACCTCACAAAAGTGGGCATGCGGCATGTTCCTGCAACCCCAGCACTCAAGACATGAGAAGCAGGAGACCCTTGGCTGCATAGTGAGTTCAAGGCAAGCCTGGGCTATGTAAGACCCTAACTCAAAAAAGAAAAATCAAATTTACAATGACAAACAAGAATAACAAAATCAATACCAAGGTCAGGTGTGTCTACACAATATACTATCAGCTCAAGTTTGATCCTCAGCACTTTCCCTTCCCCCCTCCTCCATCCTACACACACACACACACACACACACACACACACACACACACAAGCATAAAATGCTATCAACCTAAAATTCAAAATTAGGTCAAATACATTTATGATGCTTTGGTTGACTATCCTACAGCTACTCTTGCAAACTGGTTATCTGACAGTTCTGTAGGTCAGAGGTTTCAAATGGATGTCATGGGCTTAAATCAATGTGCCAGCTGGCCCGCCCTGAAGATTCCTGGGAGAATCTCTTCCAGTCTCAAAACTCTGAATTCTACAGCTGAGTTGTGCCCACTGCTCCTTGCTGAGGGAAGGTGAGATGAGAGCTTCAGGGTTCCTCAGTTTTCACATTTTCTTTTGAAACTCAGCTCCATCTCCTCATCCATATGTGTTGCTGTTTTTGTTTTCTGGTCAGGCCCATCACTGCTTAGCCCCAAATAAACACACAGAGACACTCTATTAATTATTAAACCATTGGCTGATGGCTAGAGCTTCTTATTGGCTAGCTCTGTCTTAATTACTAACCCATAACTCCTAATCTATGTATTTTCATGTGTTGCTCCTGTTACTCCTTTGTGGTCTACATAGTGTCTCCTGCGGTACCTCTCTGCCTACCTTTGCCAGAATTCTCATCTCCTAGTCCTACCTATCTTCCTGCCTCTATCTGCCAATCAGTGTTTTATTCATCAGCCAATAAGAAAAACATATATACAGAAGGACATCCCCCATCACATATGTCCAATCTGAAAAATGAGTACAGCAAATCCCTACTTTGCTGGGTTGTGGTGAGGGCTGGAACGGAGAGGAGGTGGGGCATAGGTGGTGACTCATCGGTTCCCGAACACTCCATCTTGGTTGGTTTAATTCCTGGATCAGTCGTTCACCAGTTATGTAACCTTGGGACTTAATCCATGTCTCAGTTTCCCCAAATGTAAATGGGATTCACAATAGTCCCTTCCTCCTCGTAAGATGTTGGGAAAAATTCCTAGAGTGGTATAAGCATGGGTGAGTGATGGTGACAAAAATAGTCACCAGAGAGATTGGTGGTCTGAGAAAGACTGAGGGGTCAATGGTATGTGGCGGCTTCTAGAAGATTCTCTTTGTTGTGGGGGGGTATGTGCATACATGTGCAAGTGCATGAGCCCATGCACGTACACGTGGAGCCCAGAGATGGTGGCTCTCACTGAACCTACAGCTCACCAGCTAGCTGACTGGCCAGTGAGCTCCCAGTATCTTCCTGTCTCTGATCTCCAGCATTGGCATTACAGGACTTGAACTCGGCACTTTACCACTGAGTCATCACTGAGGCTTTGGATGATTTTCTTCATGTCCCCACTCCACCCCAGTTCTGAAAGTAGAACCCAGAGCTTTGAACAGGCTAGGCAAATGCTCTACCCCTAACCAGCCCTAACCAGCACTCTACCACTAATCCATGACCCTACCCCCCCATGGTGGGGGGGGTGCTCTAAAATGGTGCTCTATCACTGAGTCACACTCCCAGATCCACAGTGGTGGATTCTAAGCCTGAGCTCTGCTGCCAAACCATGTGTCTACCTCTTACGGGCCCAGCCCCCGGTAGATTCCATGTAAGGCTGAGCTACACACTCCCAGCTCCTCTCTGGAGGATGCTAGGAGTATATGCTCTACTGCTGAGCCACATCCCCTACCCTTGATTTCGAAAGACATAATCTTGCCCAGTCTGGCCTCCACCTCTCAAATAATAGGCCTAAGATAATAGGATACATCACCACACCTGGCATAAAAAATATTACTATTATTTTTGCAGTGTTGGGAAAAGACCCATGGTCCCTCATATGATAAGCAAGCACTCATAATTGGGCCACCCCCAGCCCCACCCCAATTCCCAGTATTTAAACTCGGGGTGGGGGGTTCCCTCTGTAACCCAGGATGTCTTGGCATTCAAAACCCCCCTCTCTCTGCCTCACCAGTGCTAGGATAGTAGCTATGCATCACCACAGGCTTTCTAAATGATTCCTAGGCAGTTCCCAGCAGGCTCAGGCTGCCTGGAATCCCTCCTGACCTCTGCTGTCCTTCCCTTAAAGTTTGGTTCCTGTGCTCAAGCTGGGTTGGGCTAGAGCAGCCCACAAGGCAAATGAATGTGAGTGAGGTCAACCGGAGAGTCAGTGTAAGTGGCTGTGCCAGCATGTCCAGCCTCAACCTTTATTATCCTCCAGGTCCTCTCCAGCCATGAGTTCCTCCTCCTCCCCCCACCCCACCCCCGCCTGCCTGCTCTTGGAAGCCTAGCTGGCCCCACTCCCAGCCAGGCCCCTGCCACCTGGGACTCAGCTGATAATCCCTGTTACTAACTAAAAATATCCCTGTGTGCAAGGAGGGAGAGACCAGGGCTTTGTGCTGAGGGGCCCAACGGAGGGGCCAGCTAAGCTGAGGAGAGAGGAAGGGAGGAGGGGAGACAGGAAAGGCAAGTGGAGTAGAGAAAGGAGCTAAAAACCCTACCCTGCCATGCCTACCAAGGAGCCTTTGTGTTTAAGTTTGGTACTTACTGTCCTGAGAGTCCCAGTGTAACCAGCCTAACAGAGATGAACACATCTACACAAAAACTGTGTCCTTCACTTTGGCTCTCAGACTATTGAAACAATGGGCCCCAAGAAACTGGAACCCCACCCCCACCCAAATCTCCTGCTGGGAGAGAAGAAAGCCTAAAGCCAGGGTCAGCAGAGGGGCACTTTCTCCAGGAAAATGAGGTGTCACACTGTGCTGAGAACTTCTCATACCACCTAGCTGGGGAGACTGCAGATCTGACAACATCGGGTGGGACCACTCCTTGACTGGGGACTGCTTAGACATGCATAATTCTGGTATCTAATTCTTAACCTCACTTTAGGACCCTAAACATAGATTTGGGAGAATCATTAAATCTCTTTGCCACTCTTCACATAGAATAAATCTGCTTTTCACTACTAATGTGGCTGTTCTAATAGACATATGGAGGATAAGTGGCCAAACCTGCCTTCTCAAGGCACAGGTTGCCACCCCATGTCCTATCACACCAGTGCCCAGCACCAAAAATCCGAGCTTTGCAGGGGGCAGAAACTGCTTTTACCTTGTTTTCTGTCTTCCTGAAAACCAGATTATGGAAAAGGAAATCAGTTCAGACCTTACCAGCACATTTACTCCGTGAATGCTCCACTCCTGCCAAGGGCCACAAGATTCTTACAGCCTGGAGCCCAGACCTTAACACACCAGGGGCTCTAGCAAGGTGAGGCCAGTGTTTATAGGTTGCTAAGGCCTAGGGGAGGCCTAGCTGTTCCTTCCAAATGCCCCTGGCTCTCCCAGAGCAATCAGGGAGTGCTAATGACCAGACATACAGAAAGTCCAGGATACAACGCACTGTTACCACACAAAGATCCCAAGGAGGGCCCAAAGTCTAAGGCTCTGCC